TATCAACCAACACGTCCAAGCCCTTCTCTGCTCTCAATCCCTTCATCCCCAGCCTGCACCAATACTGCCTGCACCCTGACCCAGGTGCAGGACCTGCACTTGGCCTTACTGAATCTCATGAGGTTCACATGGGTCCACTCCTTGAGCTTGTCCAGGTCCCTCTGGATGGCACTCGGCCCGTCATGCATGTCAAACGCACCACACAGCTTGGTGTCATCCGCAAACTTGCTGAGGGTGCCGAAAGCGAAGCAAATGAGGGTGGGAACAAAAGCAGAGATGAAGAGTTTTGGGACGGTTATGAACCCTGGTCCTTAATGGCACAGCTTGCTCACAAGCAAGGAGACAAACCTTCCTTGGGAAGATAGCGACAGACTGCTCACAATCTCTTTTGACTTTTCTAAAGCACCTCAGTCATCTCCATCAGCAGTGCCAAGGCGTTGGCAAGGCAACCACGACACGCACTCGAGACCTGCTGGCTGCAGCTCCACAGGAGTGGCTACCAAGAAGAGCCAGGGATGATCCTGGGGAGTGCCACAGGCACCAAAATGCTCATCGGGAATTTATCAACAAGGTTTAATCCACAAGTGTTACGAGCCAGAGCTGTAGCAATTCCCTCCAAGCCCCCTCCCATGCTCTTCCTCCAGAATCCGCGCCGCACTCCCCTCTCCCCGTACATAAAAGTAAGCCCCACCTCGAGCTTCAGAATATCGTGCTGCAGTTTGCGCTGGAAGTCGAGGAAGTGGGAGATGGTCAGCTTCCCCTTCAGATCCGCCCCAAAGAAGTATGTTGTCAGCGCAGAGTTGAAGCCAGTTTTCAGGGTGTTCCCCGTTGTAGACCGGTCTCTGTGGCGCATGCCCATGCTGGTTTGGGAACGAATGATGCTCTGAACCTAAAAATAAGGAGAACATTAGCACCAAAAAAACCACTGGGACTCAGGCTAACCAAGTACCAGTGTGAAAAAACCCCAGGCTCAGCCACATCGTCCTTAATTTAGTTCTTCCTGAAATAATTCCCAAAAGACATGACAATCCAGAAATTCGGCTGAACTTAGGCTCTGTTTTTTTCAGTCCTCTTTAAAGAGAGGTGTGTAAGACAACCGAGTTTTAAGAAACAGTTCACCCAGTTTGCAGAGGAGCATTTTGGCGCTGATCCTGTGCCTGGTCAGCAGAGAGCAGCTTGGTCACGGCAAAAGCACCGGAGGAGGCAAAGCCAAGGCAACCGCAGGGAAGGAAAAAAGCCTGCGCACATTTTGGAGCTTCCACTCCTCGGTTCACACCAACCCTAGTTAGCTCACACTGCATTTCCTTCCCTCTTGCACACAAAACCAGGGGTTTTCTACCCAAGGACACCCTCTCCTTGCTGCCTGCCGTGGCTGGCATCTCCTCCGTCCCCAGGGCTGTGCCGCAGGCAGGGGCTGACCCACCCGCATCAAAGGGCTCTCCAAAAGTGCCATGGGCAGCCACCAGCCCAACCCCAACCCCAGCAGAGTAACAAGTAACACACAAGAATGAGTTACCAGCAGAGGGAGATACTCGCAGGTGTAAAGTACACGTTGCAACAGCAGTATCTTGATGTAGTTAACAAACTACGCAGGCAAACTGTGCCTCCTCCTGCCCCGAGCTCTCAGCAGCGCCCTGTACCCTTCTCAAAGGCTCCGCTCAACTGGAGTGGGTGCTATGGGATGGGGCAAGGATGCGCAGGACAACTTCCCTACCCTCTGCCTTATGGCAAAAGGTTGGACTTGAAGGACGCAATGGCCTAAAATAACAAGCTGTTGGATTTTTCAAGGGTCCTGTGCTAATTTAAGGGGGAAGCCAAGCCAAAGGCACGCTTGCCTCCTCTCTCCATCCCCAAGTACCCCACTACCCCTTCCCAGCACCTGCCCATCCGATGAATTGCTGGGATATGAGAAGCCAGGCTTATTCTCTACATAATAACCGATCTTTTCCAACACGGCAGCACAAGGATTCACATTAAGGACAAGTGTGAGAAAGTAGGGAGGGAAAAAGCCACCCCATGCGCTGCCTGGCACTCAGCGTAGCCTCGATGGCACACGCTTCCCGAAGCTCCATCGTCACTGCTCTGCCTTCAGCCTCTCCCTCCTGCTGACAAAAGTTGGAAGGGACAAAGAAAAACAGCTGCCAAGAGCTCCAGCCGTCACAAGGATGCCAGAACTTCGTTACCATGGTATATGGGGTGTTCGATTTTTTCCTAACAAGAGAGTGAGCGCTGGAACAACCCCAAAGGGGATGCTCCGGAGAACACCGGGCTCATCTCGCTTGAAACGCTGCCTCCGAACCACAGACTTCTGGCTATTCTTCCACTACAAGGAAAATCATGTCAAGCCAGAGGGGAAAAAAGTACAGAAAAAAGGTTTTGGACCTTTTTTTTTTGTTGTTGTTAAATATGCACTGTGATGCGAGGAAGGATTTTTGCGCTGTAAATAGCAAGTCCTTATTTTGCTTTGTGCTCCACTCGAACTGCGAGCTCTGCCTGCAGACAAATATTTATAAACTGTCTCAAGCAATGCAGTTTATGACCAGCTTGGAAAATCGCCCCTGTTTCTGCAGAAGCGAGTGTTTACCACACTGCAGACTGTTCGACGGAGCATCTTCTCCCAAGCGTTATTTACACGGCATCCTACGCCTCTCTCTTTCTCTCCCCATCTATAACAAACGTGGGACAGTTTGAGAAGCCATCTGTAGGCACCGGAGCCAAAACTATTTGGCTGGTCTCTATTTTGGGTAATGCTTCTAATGGCCAGGAAGGCAGGCAATGACTGCAAGAAGTTGTCCTCCAGCCCAACCAGCGCTGTCCTCCCCCACGGCTCATCAAGGATGTGAAGCACAGAGACGCTTCACTGGTTTTTGTACATATTTCAGCCTCAGGGCTCATGATCGGTTTCGTCTTTTGCACCAGACACGGGTAAAAAAAAAAAAAAAAAAAAGAAAAAACCCAACAAAAATAGTCAATGGTTTGAAGAGAAATCATGAGTAACGCTGCCTGTGAGTTTACTACTTTTCATCCAACTTTTTAATTAAAAACAGAAGAGTAAACTAACAATTTACATGCCAAAGGATGAAAAGTTGAAGATGAAACTGATGCAGGCACCAAATTATTCAGTGCTATGCACTAACCATATACATCAACTGGAAAGAAATTTGAGGCTCTTCAGTGAGGAAGAAATTCAATATTTTCTTATTATGTAGTTAAAGCTTCCAACTTACTCACATATTAGCTAAATTACTGCAAGTAATTTTCTTTCTTGACAAATACTCAAGGATTTTCACACATTAATGAGCAGGGGGACCTGCTACTGGCTGTCTCCAAAGTCCATGTGTGAAGAAGGAATAAGAAATACTTTCCCACGTGCTCACAAGCCAGTGGGGATGATGCTTCTGCAATGACCCTTTTCTTTCTACCCGTTCTCCCCAAAACCATCTTGCTCTTTTAAACTGATGCCACCTCTCGTAGCATATTCCCCTGGAAGGGCCAGTTCCAGCTCTCCCTGCCAGGGAAGATGCTTACGGTGCCGATCTGCAAACCCCGCCACCCTTCATGCTCTTACTGAGGCATTTCCACAGGAAGTGGAAGAGTATTTATCATATAATTACTGTGATATCACACACGTGTATAACGTTATATATGTGCCTCCCACTGGAGCTCTGCCTTTGCTTTAATTCCGTCTGCAAAGTGCGGCGAATCAGTTATAGTGACACTTGTGAAGATACTGTCAGCTGTTTCTCACTTTCCAAAACAGGTCCTTCATCCTCCGACTCGAAAGCTCTGGAAGATCAACCTTCACCAAAATACTCCGACGCTAACCAGGAATTTTATTCCATTCTATAGAGGCAGTGACGCATGTAACAAGCTTAACAAAAATATGTCACTCTTCCCGAGGACTTTGATAGGACTTAATGCACATCTAACTTCCCTTTGCCTACCAGATGATTTGAAATCATTTAATTCAATTTTCTGCTTTCATTTTCACAGTGCTTCCGAAGCATTCATCCTCAGGAAACATCCTTTCTTACTTCACCCGGCTAATAAAAAAGCCAAACATGACACCTGCATTACACCTCTGTGTCACTGCATTTTTAGGTGGTTAACCACCCTCCACTTCCCTTAAATTCATTTATCTGTATAATTGAGTTCACTCTAGAACATTAGTAACTGCCGTAAAACACCTTCTGAATTGTTAAATATTATGAGACCGCTGCAGTGGAGTGCTATACTCGTGCACCTTGCAAACAGAAGGAAGAGCAGTATTTTTTACTTGGGAAAACAGGAAACTTTGAATTTTTCATAGCTAAACCAGTAGTTGGCAGGGACGCAGTCCCAAACAGCACAATAACCTGGACACAGCCTGTATTCAAATCTGCGCTGGAAGGAAAAGGAATGAACTCCTGGGTTTACATTACCAACTGTCATGTCAGGGGACATCATGTTAGAGAGAAACATCCTCCCGTTCTCCTAAGAGGCCAAAATTTGCATCTAAAAGCACAGAGTTAACCAGATACATTACACAGCTCTGGAGCAAAGTCATAATAATGACATCATACCCGCAGGTAATAATTTAAAGAGGATGACAGCAAGGGACTTGCTAATACACAGCGACATCAGGGTGTTTATGAGTTTCCAAAGCCTTGAGGATGTTTTCTACATAGCCAAAAAAGTTATAGGCTTCTGCTGGGGAGGGGGGGCAGAGCTATTCTCCACTGACAACTCGAGTCTCCGATCTATCCTCACTCTAACACAATCCCAAACCATAGCTTACACGAGAACCTCGCCAGGATCAGACAGGCAGGCTGAGCTCATGGAAAAGCCTGCATCGAAATTCCTTCTAATGAAACCCTGTAAGAAGTTGGGGAAAGAAACTAATGAAAATACACTCTCAAACAACACATTTTTAGATTACATCGAAATAAATGGCCAAATTCTTCGAGGCAGACTCTCCCTGCTTGTCCTCTGAAGACAAACAAAATTAGGGAGTGCAATAAAAGCAGGATGAAAATCCTAGGACACCAGTACAGGGGAAAGATTCCCTCATCTACTTTGGAGGTGACATCTTGTAAAGATACCTTGGTGACAAAGTGACAGGAAACTGGAGTCTATAGAATCATAGAATGGTTAGGGTTGGAAGGGCCCTTAAAGATCATCCAGTTCCAACCCCCCTGCCATGGGCAGGGACACCTTCCACTAGACCAGCTTGCTCCAAGCCTCATCCAGCCTGGCCTTGAAGACATCCAGGGATGGGGCATCCACAGCTTCTCTGGGCAACCTGTCCCAGTGCCTCCCCACCTTCTCTGTGAAGAATTTCTTCCTGATAGCTAATCTAAACCTCCCTGATTTCAATTTATACCCATTACCTCTTGTCCTATCACTACAGGCTCTTGTAAAAAGTCCTCTCCCAGTACCCTTCGAGGCCCCCTTCAGATACTGGAAAGCTGCAATGAGGTCTCCTCGGAGCCTCCTCTTCGCCAGGCTGAACAAGCCCAATTCTTGCAGCCTTTCGTCATAGGAGAGGTGCTCCAGCCCTCTGAGCAGCTTCGTGGCCTCCTCTGGACTCGCTCCAACCGGTCTATACCCTTCTGATGTTGAGGGCTCCACAGCTGGACGCAGCACTCCAGGTGGGGTCTCACCAGAGCAGAGTACAGGGGCAGAATCCCCTCCCTCGCCCTGCTGGCCACACTGCTCTGGATCCAGCCCAGGATACGGTTGGCTTTCTGGGCTGCCAGCGCACACGGCCGGCTCACGTTCAGCTTTTCATCAACCAGTACCCCCAAGTCCTTACAGTTGTCACAGTTGAATGAAAAATTATGCCTTGAAACACCCAGTAAAAAAAACCCCCAACTAGCAGGCCCTGAGGCAACACAGCATAGAAGGAAAAGACATAAACCAACAAGTAATCAGAACTAAAAGTCACAGTAACATCGTAGAGGAGTGCTGCACTCATGACCAAGATGCCGTAGCATTAGGAAGTCAACTTGCCTGCTCAAACTCTTCCATGTCCACCTCGCCGTCACCGTTCAGATCGAACATCTTAAAGGCGATTTCGAAATTCCTCTGGGGAGCTACAGGATAAACACACACAACAAAAAAAACCCAAAGACCAGTTAACAAAGATACAAAAGTTCAATTAAAAAGGCACGAGTTCAGAATGAGACTATCCCCAAGCAGTTCTCCATAATTCTTTGTTTTGAGAGGAAAACGCAGCTCTCGGGAACCTCTGGCTAAGAGCTTCATGATGTGCCTTTTACCAAAGGGTCTTGACAAGGAGGTTGGGTGGAGACGATTCTCGAACAAAATTTATCCCATTTACGGATGGAAAAAGCACAAAACCAAGACGCCATCTGGTATTTCTAATGACAGTCAACAGAAAACAGGGTTGTAGCAAGAGCTCCGGCCTGCTCCACACAGCGTGACACCGGTTTGGCCAGGAGACGTTCCTCCGGCACTGCAGAGCACGCTCCGTGCTTTGCAAAGCAGTTGGGCGGGTGAGGAGCAGACCCAGACTTTGGGTAATTCCCTTCCAGACTCAGCTCTTGCCTCACTGTGCAAATTTAAACAAATCATTACCAGCTCTGTCTCAGCCCGGTCACGACAATGCGATAACCAGCCGAGACGCACCCGAGACGGCGTGATACCTTATTTTTCGTTGCATTTAGTCTACGTTGTCATGATTCATTGAGCCAGAACTCAGCCAAAGCATCTCTTCACAGCCACCCATCACAGCAAAACCACGCTCTTTCCCCTGCATCCCAAAGACTTGCAGTAGGTTTCCATTCTGGGCTCCTTAACCCATCACTATTTAAAGCTACAATGTAGCGCCACAGTATTTTTTCTTCCAAATTAAGCTAATATGTGAGAAATTAGCTTGCTCTACTACTTCCCAGTACATACCACCTACAGGAATTGTGGTGTTTGCTAGGATTTCTAGGGAATCCTCTTGGCTGTAACGAGTGCTTAGGTTGTTCAATTAAAATGTACAATTTGCCCCTTTTCTGTGTTCTGGAGATGGATCTTCACCCAAACCTGACAGCAGGATGGGGATCACTGGTGAGGCTCACCCCACCCTGGCTCCTTAACCTCACCTGGTGCAATCAACTTTTAATATTCCTTGGGGATGCTCAAGAAGAGTCTCTGCAACCAGCGTTGTGCAGTAAGGTGTCTCCCAGATGGGGGTGGGAGGGGGAAGGCAAAGCGGCATCACTCAGACAAAAAGAAATTAATACGGAATTAATCCTGAACTTGATTTTGTACCATTAGTTCCAGCTGCAATTCAGGGCCAGAAGGCTTTTACACTGTATTTTCCCCTCACTGTAATAAACCGTAGCACTTCATCACTAAAAGATTCAGCACGCGTGTTAATGAGATCCCTTTTTCCAGTCGCTCGGTCCCTTAAACAGATGTAAAAGGGCATTAAACTCGCTGGCAGGAACGGCCTGTCACTAGCCTCTTGGTGTACACGGCGCACACAGTCCTGCCGTCACCATCTCCGGATTTCCAATTTCCACGTGCCAATTACTCGGGCTTTAAATTCCAAAGACCACGGGCACAAGCGACGTCTCCTACAACCGGGGCAATCGCTAGCGGCACGGGGTGGGTTATTCCCTCCGCAGCCCCGCAGCAGAAGCGATGCCTCCATCCCTCATTATTTCAGTGCTAGCTCAGATGTACTCAGGTGGACCGGTCGTCCCCGACACCACCTTCATCACCTCTTCAACGATGTGATTTAATTACAGGGATCTATACAAAAAGCCTCCTCTGCGTCCATCCATCATTTCCAGTGATTAAATCCCTGTTTCCTTGAGAGCAACAATATTAAGCACCTTCCAAGTACCCTCCTAACATTTAAATAACACATGCAAACACATTCACTTTAATCGCATGTACTCCATGAAAGCCTGGACACAATTTCTCCTTATTAGCCCCCAGAATCTAGTGTTGTTTCTCCCAGGAGGAAACAGGGGACTACAAAGCTCTAATCTAGTTACAAGATGCCAAAAAAAACCCCAGCAATCTACACATTTCATCTTTCTTCTTCCATTTGCTCTGCCAGGGTACAAAGGTGTATCTTCTGAGACTGGAAAATCTGAAAAATTGGTGTTTGTTTTGGTTCCCTCCCCACCCTTTTCTTTACAGAAAAATACCATACCATGTCCCATTCGCACAGACACAGGGTGAACAGAGGAAGCTGGTACTTATCTTGCCCCTCACAAAGGCCATTTCCTTCCTTCCCCTTCTCTAAATACTCATTTTCAAGAGCAGTTTATCAAAGCCCCAGAGGAGAACATCACTTGCAAAATTAAAATGAAATTAAGAGTTCAGCATCAAAAATCTGCAGGGTCAGTATTTTCTAAGGACAGGGAAGGAAAGTGTCTTTCAAGTGGCAAATTTAATTACTTCATCCCTTTAGCTAATAAGCGACACAGCCTGTTTCTTCCTCTGATCTGCATATCTAACTTCAATTACTTGTAACGACACTTAAGTCCAACAAACGTGAATCGGAGCCAGGGAAACCAGAGGGCACCGAAGGCAATTAGCTCATCCCTCTCAGGAAGAAATGTTCATTAAGATGCATGTCCCTGATCTCCGGGCAGCCTGGATTTATTGGTCCCGAATGAGATGATTTGTGCCTCTCCTCTTGGGCGTGATGTTTCTGACCAGGATTTATTGGGGAAGAGTCATTCCGATGGGAGCTAACCCCTCCTTGCCCACCCTGTCCCATTACTCGTAGTTACATCAGCCTGTACAACCCTCATTTTTCTTCTTCCTCTCGTACTTAGAGATTTCAGAAACTTGCAGACCATGAAAGCAGCAGATTCTGGTTTGCCTAGCTAACTCAGCCTTTCCCTTCCTCCACTTTTACTCTGCTCCCCAATTTCGCCTTGCTCAACTGCAGCTTCTCTGAATTTCCCCACTGCCTCCTTAGTTAAGACGACTCAAAATAAATGCTAGATTCCTCCTGCAATGGTCAGCCAAACCATTTAAAGGACTGTTTGCGTTTAGTACAGCGCAACGCCTGTCTTTGCAAGCACAGCCACTTCTGGATCTCCCCAAGTGCTGAGCTGCATTGCCAGCTCGCTCCGATTTTGCGAGCTATCTCCTCGCCATCCTTTTTGGCATTATTCAGAATCAAGATTTTTCACTGCAACTATTTCCCTTGGGCAACAACCCAGGAACTGAGCAGAGCAGCCGCAGCTTCTTTTCTGGTTTTATTGATAGGCTGGGTGGAGAACGGATGGAGAGCAGCCCTGAGAGGGGGACATGGGGGTACTGAGGGATAAAAACCTGAAC